ATTTTACTCTTCCATTGAATAATCGTCTGAATGACAAATGATTTGGTAGGATAGCTTTTTTTTTTTTTTGCCTTCTTTAATATTTTGTTTTTGTTGTTATTTTTTAAATGTGGATACTGATTGCAGAGAATTGTCAATGTTAGTATTTTTAACCTGGTTTTATAAAAATGTACTTGATATTTATAGTTTCTTGTGCATTTCTTTAGATAGTTTTTTACCTTTGGACAGAGACATATGCATAGATTGGCCCTTCACATTCTAGAAGGAAAGGGAAAGAAGGTAGGAGTTAGTGTGTGGGGGGTAGGGATAGGCTAAGATTACTCTTTTTTATGTGGTGGGGAGCCTCAATGAGGGTAATATAGGAGGGAATAAGAATATAGAGTACGTAGACTCAAATGGAGGTAGTCCATAGGGCGGGATCTGATTGATGCTGGACTCCATGGAGTCTCTGAAATGACATGTGGACGCAAGAAGTCCCCAGGTGTGACCATTTTTCTGGGCAGGGGCCGTAGCTGTCATGAGATTCCCAGGGCAGTTAAGTGACTACAAATGATTAAGAAATTCCTGCTCTATACAGAAAGAATGTTTTGATTTGTTAGTTGCTGGAGTTAACTGTTTGGAAAAAAGTAGTTTTATTTTCTTTCCATGTAGGATATGCAGGTGAATACCACGAAATTCATGCTGCTGTATGCCTGGTATTCTTGGCCCAATGTAGTTCTGTGTTTCCTTGGTGGCTTTTTGATAGACCGAGTGTTTGGAATACGGTAAGCTTGAAAAAAATTTCACCTATGTGTAAAATCTGATTATTAGGAAAACACAGAACTAAATTAAGGTATTTCGAGAAATAGAACTGAATAAACGTCTCTATTTTTTAAAAGATTTCTATATCTCTGGAATTGGTTTTTGAAATTTGGTTGGTATTTCAGTTAAAGTTGGGATTAATAAATGCTGCTCATGGAATAAGGTAACTCAGTTACCTGAAGGTAAATTATGTTCTCACTTGGGATCAGGCAGGTCAAGGTCCGAATCCCATTACTGTCACTTGCTCAACTTCCCAGCTCTTCTGAGCTTCAGTTTCATCATTGGTAAAATATGGATAATAATTCCTGCCCTGCAAGGTGGTTATGAGGATTGAGAGATGGATGCACAGCATTTGGCACATACATAGCATTTGTCTCTCCCCAGTGANTGGTTACATAAACTTGACCAGACACTATAAAATAATTTTCATGGGTCAATATATGGAAACAACAGACTTAAATTCTAGTCCTATTATTCAAATCAATCTAGTTATTTTTACCAGACTTCCTAAGCTTTCCTTTGCACATCTCCCATGTAGAGCTGGATGAAGCTGACATGGCAGTTCATGTGATTTTGTAACCCTTTCTAAGCCTTTGCATATGTTGTTACCTGAAATATCCTCATTCCCCTCCCATGTCCCTCTCCCACTCTCTTCAATCTCCTCCATTCTTTGAGCTCAAGCTCACTATCACTGCTTCTGGACTCCCACACAGAATCAGACACGCATCCGTTTTGTCCCACTGAGGAACTCACACTGCAATGGGGAGAGGCGGGGTAAGGGCAGACCAGGGAGGGAAAGAAGGCCTTGAAGAGGACTTCGAGATTTCCAGCTTGGTTTCCACGTAGGATGGAGATAAGGAGAAGGTTTCAACCCACACAGGCCTCAGGAGGAATGGTAGGAAGTAAAGGCTGAATCCAGAACTTAGATTTTTGAGAGAACCCAACACACTTTTCTGTCTGTGGGGCAAACTGTGCACCAGAGGCTGAGGGCATCCCCACACCCATGAAAACAGCTGCTCAATCCAGTGGCCGTGTGTCCAGATGACAAAGTCTACAGCTGTACCCTGAATCATTCTCATTTTTCCATCACTCAGTAATTACAAAATAAGGGCAGTTTATTTGCTTGACTAATAATAGGTCAATGCAATTAGAATGAGTAAGTTTATTGTGCAGACAGGAGTGGGTTTTTCCATGACGGTAAGCTTTCCTTGTTATACCACCTGCTAACACAACTCTCTCCTGATTTAAGAGACTCATCCATTCAGTTACGCATTTTTCAAGCTGGCCCTGTACTAGGTGTTTGAGATATAAAGATGCACAAATCTCTCAGGATCTCAAAGTCTGTGGGCATAATTTCAGGCCTACAGAAAAATTGTAAGATGAGACAAAGAATTCCCATAGATCCTTTACCCAGATGTCCTAAATGTTAACACTTTACCATATTTGTTTACTTTCTCTCTCTGTATACAGATATAAAGAGAATTCCTAGAAAAATGTAAGTTGCTATTAATTATATAAAAAGAGGTTCACCTCACTCAATAAAATAGAAATGCAAATTGAGATCAAACTGTGATAGCCAGTTTTCACTTATTAGATTTGCAAAGACCAGAAATCTGAGAACAAGCTTGATTAGTATGGTGTGAGGAACAGGCTCTTCCCTGCATTGCTGGTGGGAATGTAAACTGGTACAACTTTCAGTGAGAACAACTTNATTTTTTTGTTTGGTAACCTTATCTGTGGCTTTATCTTTGTTAGTTTTCTCTTAAAAAACTTACTTCTTGTTTAATCTGGGTCCTCCATGCCTATTTTGTAAGCTACCCACATCCTCCTATTTTTTGAACAAGGCAGAGATATAAATGAAAATTATGTTGATCTCCGCCCCGCCTTCTCTTCCAGGGAAGTACAGTGAACATGAACCTCATGGGATGGCTGTATTCTAAAATTGAAGCTTTGGGTTCTGCTGGTCACACAACCCTTGGAATCACACTTATGATTGGTTAGTGAATCCTGATATCCCACATTTTGTCCCTTCAGAAAGCATGTCATAGGAAGTATCATGGCAGAGAGGAAATCAGAATTAGACCGTGTTGGTTATAATTTTGCCTGCACAATTCACTAGTTCTTTGACCTAATTAGAAATAGCGAATCATTCACCCATTTGTGTTTTTATTTCTACTTCTTAAAATGGAGGATCTTGTCCCACTGTTGTCTACTTCAGTGTCGTCCTGATGATCAAATGAAAGAGTGTCTGTGAAAGCTCTGAAAATAATCAAGAATTTATACACGTGAAGTGTTACTTATTAGTCTATAGCAGAAGGCAGAATTGTTTCCTTTTGATCAAATTCAGTTAGTGTGCCTCTAGAGGTTGGATTTTATACATAGCACAGACATGATGTGATATGGTGGGAAATCCAGTATGTTGGAAATTAGGAGCCTGGGTTCCAGGCCTGGCTCTAGCAGTTCTGTCGTCTTGGACAGGGGAGTTAACTTCTGTGTCTCCATTTCTTTTTCTGTAAAATTGCAGGTGTTTGACCAAAACTGTTTAGGTCCCTCCTGGCCCTGAGTTCTCTGAGCTAAGGCCTCATTGTGCTGGTTGCTGGGTGGGTCACTGGGAATCGTATGAGGTCCTCTGGATTCACGTCCTGGGCTTTTTCTCTGAGGAGTAAATGAATCTGAGCCGCCTGGTGTGTAGAGGGCTGCTGGCGAGCCCTAGAGATACCTGTGGGATGGGGTGAATGTTCTATGCCATCTCCTACTGCTAATACTCCCTTGGTATAGCCTGATAAAAATAGGCAGCGGAGCAGTAATCCTACACAGGCGACTTGTACCTAGAGACTCCTCCCTTCTCCCTTCCTCTCAAATACTTTGCTTTACTTAAAACCTTTCTTACTCTCAAACGCTCTTCCGTATTCCTTTTAGTTCCCTCCACTAAAAGGAGGGAACTGTGCCATCCTAAGTCAAAGTCTCTTATTTACAGATGGGGAAGTTGATGCCCAAAGAAGTTAAGTTCTGTGTCCAAGATCATTCAGCTTGTTAGTGGCAGAAGTAGAATGTACATCTGCTGACTCTCATTTCCGCAACTTTTCAGCTGAACCATATTAAGTCAGCCAATTAAAGACTCATTTATTTTACTAAGCGTCATAAAATTCTTCACAAGTGTAAACTTTATTTCACTCTTTATCCGATTTACTTTAATGAAATGAGATCAGCTTTAGTGAGTAATGCTGAATACACAAAGGCAAGAGAGGCCAAGCGAGCTATGCTGTGGGGCCCTGGGGCTGCCAGAGAGTAGGAGCAAGAATTACAGACCTTGGGAAAGAATCAGAGGAAGACGATCATCAGAGGATCAGACTTTGCTTTTATAATTTTTCCCCCCTGCATCCCTCAATTCGTTCTTAGACTGAATTAAGAAAGGACTAATTTGCTAGCTGGTCTTCAGCTTTCTTCAGTCTGTATTCTGCATGATAAGACTGGATTGGTTTGTTCTAGCTTCCCTCTAATCGCCAACCTTCTACTGGAAAATAATATAGTAATAGCGACCATATCGTTTGTTGAGGGCTCACCATATGCCCTTCCTTTCTTTCTGTCCCGAGTTAGTAATTGTAGGCTTTTCTTATATGCATCTAAATACCATCCCTTTCAGTTGCTAAGTTTTCTGCTGTTAATGTGATGCACTGCCTTTTAAGGAACTTTCAGCCTGGTTCTTTATTAAAACTTTCTCTTTTTTTTATTATAGGAGCAATAACATGTATTCTTTCACTAATTTGTGCCTTGGCCCTTGCTTACTTGGATCAGAGAGCAGAAAGAATTCTTCATAAAGAACAAGGAAAAACAGGTAAGTCTACATGTAAGAATAGTGGGACTTTGGGGAATTACACCTTTTTTGAGATACTTTATGATGATGCAAGTTCCTAATGCAGTGTTGAAACTCAGTGAGGCTTAATATGTTGGGGTTTTTTTCCTCCTCATCTTTTATTTCCAAATCTATTTCCACTTGTCTAAATTTTAAAGTACATTTTTTTCCTCTTTTATGTTTTTGGCATAATTTTCGTTCTTGACTGTACTTCGTATATTTGCAAAAAGATGAGTGTTCCTGGAAGANCATGGACTTCTTTACTGACTGTTTTCCTTTCCTCAGTGTGCTCTCGGGCTACATACTGAGGCATTACCTTCAATTCCTGGTTCCAGAGGATTTAGAGGAGAAGTCACAGACTTTTTGAGTGCTAAGAGGTGAGCAATAGGTGGCTTAAGCTTAGAAAATAATGGCTGGGTGAATAAATAAAGATGGGGGACGGAATCAAGTAATTCTTTGAAGTGATCCGTGAGGCACATGGTTTTATAATAGAAGAGACTGCATTTGCAGCAGCAGAAAACACCATCAGTGGTGTTTACTACAGTTAATTCCTCTTGATTTGCCTTCTGGTCTCGATCCTATAACCAACTGCTATTGAAAATTTCCACAGGATGACGGAGGTGTATGCTCTTCTGTTACTAATCCATCCTGCTGTGTCTAGCCTCCCCCACCCCTCAAACCCCTATGGGACCACTTCGTACCTGAAAAAAGGCTAATATGGTACCAGGTGGGTAATAGACTTATGAGGGGATCACTTCTTAAATTATATAAATGTCTAGCCACTATGCTCTACACCTGAAACTAATATAAAATAATATTGACTATAAGCTGTAATTGAAAAAAATAAATAAAAGCAAAACAATATAATTTAAAAAGAGACACACACACACACACACACACACACACACACTCTGAGGAAATGCCATGTGAACAATGAGAGGGTGGCCATCTGCAAACCAAGAAGAGAGCTCTTTCAGAAGCCACCCATGCTGGCATCCTGATCTCAGACTTCAGGCTCCAGAACTGTGAGAAAATAAATGTCTGATGTTTAAGCCAAAAAAAAAATGATGTTTTATGATGAATATGATGTTTTAACTCTCTGGGTCCTACACTAATTAGCCTGTTCTTCTCTCCTCATATTAGGAAACAGAGGATGCTGTCCCTGGAGGTTATAATAACTGAGGTGAGTAAAACCCAGAAAGCCACTTTTCAATTTCTAAGTGTTCTGTCTATCTGGAATTTTCAGTGGACTTGATGAATACGAGTAATGCAAAAACGTGGGACCTCCAGCCCCAGGGTTTCATCGTACCCGTAAAACATGTTTTACAGTTTCTGCTCAATTTTATGCTGTTAAGCTAAACATTTGATATCATATGGCACTTTAAGTACATTGATTTATGGTAAGTCAGCAATTGCATCTGTAATAAAAAGTCCAAGGTATGGGCTTTAAAAGTAATTTACTGTATTTATTATTGACATAAGCAGTTACCTGCAGTCCATTTGAACACCATCTTAGATTTAACTCATGTATTAAAGATATTATGTTTCCCACTCAGCAAGGTCATCACCAAGGTGAAAACTGTATATGGTTGGAAATGAAAAAGGTTAAATGCGTAATGATAAATGTTTTCAAATAAATGACATACAGGATTTCATCTTTCTATATTCCTGATTAATAATCATATTTTGTTTATCTTATTTTTCACACTCACCTCCTTTGTCTAGTCCCCAATTCTGGCAACCACTAATCTTTTCTTCATCTCTATAATTTAGTCATTTCAAGAATGCTGTATAAATGCGATCATAACCTTTTGAGATTGGCTTATTTTCATTCAACAGCATTCCCTTGAGGTCTGTTTAGTTTTATGTGGATTGTCTCATGCTTATTTTGCCACCGTGGTTACAGCTAGGGTGGCATAATTCAATTAATTTAAGGACTACTTCAATACAAACCAAAGTAAGAGAGTCTAAATTAAAAATAATTTTATAACGGGAACATTATTTATAATTGAGTCCATGTTAATCAGTGAGAAATGTTTCTTTTTAGACAATGTTAGAGCAATTGGGGACAAAAATGCACCTAGTTCATCAAAGGTGGTTGGCAGCATAATTAAAAAAACACCCAACCTCCCTAATGCTAATTTAAGAGATGTTTTAGTTAAACATTTGGAAAAATTATGAAAAATTTGGAAAAGATTCCATTTTCATTTTGTATTTGCATAATGTATATTTTTAAATATGCAAGTTTATGGAATTCATTGTGTGTTTACACATTGAGCCCAAATGTCATGTAAAAACAAAATTTGTGTGGGCCAAAGGCACAGGTTTGTATTGCCTTTGCTTGACTAGCCAGTGTGTTCCTTGCTATTACTCTTAAGAGATTGTATGTTGGCTTATTTTTGTTTTTGTAAATAAATGGAAAGTTTGACAAAGGCTCTTTCTTTTCAAATATCTCCACAAAGGAAGGTCTGAAGTTCAGGGTAAATTTATATTAGGGAGTATTAGCAAGCTATGTCACGAGGTTCCCAAGGCCACCTCCAGGTTCAATGATTCTGTAGAGGACTTGCAGGACTCAGTATAAGTCGTAGTTGTGGTTATAATTTATTACAGAGAAAGCATATAAAGCAAACTCAGCAAACGGAAAAGGTGCATTGGGTGAAGTCTGGAGGAAACAAGGTATAAGCTTCTCCACACAGGACCCTCGGAATTCCACCAGCATTGAGTTGTGACAATATATGTGAAATGTTGCCAACCAGGGAAGTCCAGCAGAGCCTCAGTGCCCAGAGTTTTCCCTGGGGGGGCTGATCACACAGCACTCTTCATCTAGCACATACACAAATTCCAGGCTCCCCAAAGGAAAGCAGATGTTCAGTATAAACCACATTGTTTGTACAGTTTGGTACAGTGAGCCATATTTTTATCAGTTAATGGGTGGGAATTTAAGTTTCCAGATGCCTGAGATGTTTCTCCTGCGCCATCTACTGACAAAGCTTAACACGGGGCCAGTTGGCAAAGGAAACATTTAAAAATTTTCAGACTAGGTGAAAAGAATAAATTTGGAGCTGAGACAATAAATCCATAACTTGCATAAGGAGTGTCCATGTATACTTCCTTCCCATGGCTGTTCCTCCAACAGCTGAGTTTTTTCTTAAAACATTTTCTCATCCTTTGTCTTTTCAGTACGTAATTCATAAGTACGTACACATTTTTCATTGCTTAATATGTATANTAGGAAGCCTGTTGTTGAGAATGGAGACAGTGTATTGGCTCATAGTGACTGGGCACATTTTTATTTGCTAGGATTGCAGTTCGGCCAGACTCCCATTCAGGATTTAAATCAAATTCTTCTTTGCTTTATCTTCTACCTCTTTCTCTGTTTTCATTGGCAGCTGCTTAAACAGAGCAGTGTGTGAGTGAGAGTGTTGTGTTTATGGGGTGTGTCTTTGTAATTATAACCTTTAAATTCAGGCTCTCATTTTAAATGATTTGAGACAAGAACCCTATGCATTATATAGCCAAGAACCTGTCCAGAATTGCTTTTAAGGGAGAAAAGCAGTCTTAATTCCCTGTAGTAATATATTTGGTTTTCTGAAAATTCATATATAGCATGCTGTATATGTAAAAAGGGAAAAAAGTAGGCATCAGTATATTTTATTTAGTTAGTGAATTATTTATATAAATACTAAAACTTTTAGCCAGTTACTTGAAGATGAATATCAAATAAGGTGGGAAAACAGTATCAAGAAGGAAAAGTTGACTAAACTTAGAATTACTTGTATTCAGTTATATTTTGACTTTATTTTTTAAGAATAGTAGTTCTCTTTAAAGTGCTTATTTCTGTCTCCCTTTTCTTTATTTTAGAGTTTTCTTTACAGAGAAATTTGGATTTTCTTCTCAGGCAGCAAGTGCTATCAACAGGTATTTCATTAATTTTTGCAAGCGCTTATTGTTTGCCTAGTGTGGGCCTTTAATTACAACCAAATGTTATAACACATACGTGGTGTAACATCCATAGTGTGAAACCAAGACTATATTGGCACTTGACCCTGAGTGGCCATCTTTGCATTAATGCAAAACCAAAGACGTCTTGGACCACTCTTTATATATTTATATTCCTATTTACTAATGACCATTTTAGAAGATTGTTAAACTAAATGAGCTTGAGTTTGCTTTGCCTAATAGTTTTCGGGACCTCTTGGATTTTTTTTTCTAGCTGTGATATATTTCATTAAATATATTTTCTATTCTCTGGGCAGTGTGGTATATGTCATATCAGCTCCCATGTCCCCAATATTTGGGTTCCTGGTGGATAAAACAGGGAAGAACATCATCTGGGTCCTGTGTGCAGTGGTGACCACTCTTGCTTCGCATATGCTGCTGGCCTTTACCCTGTGGAACCCTTGGATTGCTATGGTAATGTCACTGTTAGCACCTGGGGCTCCGAGGTCGGGGCGGACTCCGTAAAGTGCATGTCAGGAGCCACGCTCAGTTCCTCTGAAAGCAGTGCTTTGGGGCCGTGGGAAAACAATGACTTGACTTAAATTTCTACAAAGTAACTATTTTGAGAGTATATAAATATTAATTATTAATGCTTAAAGTATTTTTAATTTCATTTGGCTTTTTTTTTTTTTTAGCTGAGCCATCCTGCCACCTGTTGGCAGCTCACTGGAAGCTCAGCTTGGGCCAGCTGGCCCTCATTTGGCTTATTTAATAGAGTAAGCTCAATGCTGAAGTAGAATTTGAAATAAAATAGTCTTATAAAAGCTAGAATGCTTATTAGATTAGTTCCATTTATTTTTCTGTGCATCATTAAGAGAAGTCATTCCGTCATAGGTGGCAAAAAAAATCTTATCAGGCCAATATCCATGATTTCCTATCGTTTTGTCTTTAACTTTTAGTACATTAAAAAGTGATAATGACTTTATCAAGGTTTTGTCATTGTTCTTCAGAATGTCATTTTTAAGATTACAGGCTGAAGTGCCACATTTCTTACTTGTTCATAAAAGAATATCTTGAGCATATGTATTTGTGCACTTGGTGGGAATTCTGTAGGACAGATTCCTAAAATTAGAAATGCTATAGTAGAGGCTTTGCACATTTAACATCTTGATAGATTTTGTGAAACTTCTCCAGTAACTTTCTATCCATTTATAGCTTTATCAGTAATAGAAGAATGTGTCTGTATTTTAGTGTCCTTGCCATTATTGGACATTGACATTGTCTTCATCTTTGCCAACTGATAGTTATAAATGATCTTATTTTGACTTAAATCATAAGGTTCCCTTTTTAATTGAAGAAAAAAATCAGCATTAGGTGATGTCTAACAAGCATTGGTGGTTGGTTCTCTGCCTGGCTCTCCTGTTGGGTGTTGATAACCCAGAGGTCGAGATAATGGACTTATTGGTGTAATGTTGCCTTGGTTGCTTAATTTGTAGTTCCTAATAAATATTGGAAACTCAGCTTACTTAAAACATTGATAATAACTTTGCGAATTAGCTTTGTTTTCCTGCTTGGTTCTTGACTTCACCCAGTGCCCAGCCAGTTATAGGTGTATATACTAGAAAATGGTTAACACAGTGTGCGTGTATTTTGTCACTAGAGGGATACTTTTAGAGAGGGCCAGGACTTCTCTAATACAGGACTTTGTATTGAATCTGAGTTTTAGTCTGATCACCATCAAATTTGCATGACTATTCATTATATGCATATTATGTCACTCTTGCTAATCTGCATCAAAGGAAAATCACCTTTGGTTAATATAAGGCTTTTTTCCTTTTCTGTATTGCTTTCTGTAGTCTCTCCTAGGACTCTCCTATTCGTTGCTTGCCTGTGCATTGTGGCCAATGGTGGCATTTGTAGTTCCTGAACATCAACTGGGAACTGCATATGGCTTGTAAGTATTTGCGCCATTGATCATATGATGTCTCTCTCTGCTGTATCAATTTAATTATCATGTGAAACCCCAGGCCCTCTGAATCTAGTCATCTTTAGGCTTCTGAGACAGCTCTGAACCTGGAAATAACTGGAAAAGTCAGTTAATCTATTTATGATGTTGTTGTGGCAACAAAAAAATGCTCCAAGCCTCCAGTAGGAGAGCTGGAGTTAAGCTAATCCATAAAAGGTAATTGCCAACATTATCATTCCATGGCCCATTTATCTGAGGGCTTCTCAGTGAGCAGTTGAGTTCTGGTCTCTGGTCTAAAAGGCAGAGGAGTTGGTATTCACTTAGCTCACTCTTTCTTTCAGCAGGAAGGTTTTGAGTTATACTTCACTTAATAAGGCAAGCTCCCTGACATTTGAGCATGAAATCTAGTAGAAGAAACAGTCATGGGATAAAAAAATCTAATCGGGTCATCCCTGGTTGAAAACATCTGTTAGCACAAATAACAAATAGTATATGGTTTATGGATACTAATATTTACAGTAAATTGTTACTCTGTGTGTGAAGACTTTTGAAATTGAAATGTGTTTTTTTATTTCTTAATTGCAGCATGCAGTCCATTCAGAACCTTGGGTTGGCGATCATTTCCATCCTTGCGGGCATGATACTGGATACCCGGGGATATTTGTTTTTAGAAGTGTTCTTCATTGCCTGTGTTTCTTGTAAGTGTGCCATGTGGCAACATATATTTAGTTTCTTTTAATATGTAGCAGAATGTTCTTTTTATATTTTCAGATTTTTTGTTATTGTTCTGTTTTTCCCCCTTTATTTTTGTTTGAATATTTTATTGGGGAATTAGGGGAGGGGAATAGCGTTGGGGAATCGGGGAAGGGGAACAGACAAGTTGCTGTCCTTTTGTTCTTCAGCCTAGTTGTGGAGGATGTCGCTTCACTGGCCCATGTTGGTATTATCATTGCGCTCTTCCTGGGTGAGCAGTCGCTCACCGGCCATTGGACGGCCGCTCACAGCAACTCACAAAAGCTCATGCCTACTGCCGGCCACTGCAGCCTACGC